GCCGGCAGCAGCAGCAGTAACAGCAGCAGTAACAGCAGCAGCAGCAGCAGCAGCGCTCTGGTGTCAGTTATCAGGACAGAGAAAATAATTCTAGAAACTGGGCCATGGTCATGGTAAAAGGAAGTTACTGACAGCAGCCAAAACCACAGAGAGTGTCCTCCACACCACAGACAAATCACTGCTATATGACCGAATCACAGACTCCACCCTGAGAGGCTGCTGCTGACACCCACTCTGCCACAGCATTGACCTCAACTCTGCAGGGCAAAGAAACAACACATTATACCACACTGAATGAACTGGACCAAACCAAAGTCCATGGAGAAAATCAGTGATTTCTCTAACAACTGTGAGTCAACTCTGGCTCAGGTGAGGAGGGTCATGTTATAAAATGTTAACCCTGTTCACTCTGTTCTCCACAGACTCTGAAAGATGACCAAACACTACACGCCAGTGTGTCCTGCTGACAACGTCATCGTCAAGACTGAAAATGGATTTCAGTCTAAAAAACACCGATACATTCGCAAGGAAGGCAACTGTAACATTGTGTTCCGCCACGTTCCTGAGGAGTGGCTGCTGTTTGTCACCGATATCTTTACCACCCTGGTGGAGATCAGGTGGAGGGTGATGTTTTTGATCTTTGCCCTGTCCTACATCTTGTCCTGGCTTTTCTTTGGGATAATCTTCTGGATCATCGCTCTGGCTCACGGCGACATTCAAGACGAGAACATCGACCCCTGCGTCTACGAAGTGCGCAGCTTCACTGCCGCCTTCCTCTTCTCACTGGAAACACAAACCACAATTGGGTACGGTGCTAGAGGAATGTCGGAGAACTGCATGATCGCCATCATCGTGGTGACAGTGCAGGACGTCATCAGCTGCTTCATTGACACATTCGTCATCGGAATTGTTGTCTCAAAAATGGCCTCGGCTCGAAAGAGGGCGCAGACGTTGGGTTTCAGCAACTGTGCTGTCATTAACCTTCGAGACGGGTTCCTCTGCCTCTCTTGGAGGGTGGGGGATTTCAGGCGCCATCACCTGGTGGAGGGAACAGCCTGCGCTCAGTTAGTCCGCTCCATGGTGCACGCCACAGGGAAGGTGGACGTAACCTACGATGACCTGCGCATCATGCAGAAGGAGATCGCCCTGGTCACACCCACCACCATCACCCACAGGATGGAACCCGGGAGTCCATTGTACAAGATGAGCTTGGCCGATCTGCAGAAAGCCGACTTTGAGCTTGTGGTGTCCTTCACGTACACGGACGACTCCACAGGAATGCTACATCAGACTCGCAGCTCGTACACACCAGCAGAAATCCTTTGGGGTCAAGTCTTCCAGGAGATGATCAGGACCACGAAGAGGTTCCACAGGGTGGACTACAACCTGTTCAATCACACAGCCAAAGTCTTGGTTCCAGAGGTGAGTCCAGAGGTGTACGAGCATAAGAAGCAGCTGAGACCGTCTCCTCGTCACTCCCCCCGATCTTCACCCGGACTGTCGCCTCATCCTTCTCCCAGACCTTCACCAAAGCCAAAGAAGAAAAATCTTCAGGAAGGCCTACTCAAACCTCCAACTGTGATGGTGGAGCTCGTAAATGACGGCTGCCCTGATCTGAACGTGACAACGACTAAGGAAGAGAAAAGTTCTCAAGACACTCTGACGATACCCAACGACCTCAGAGGTTCAGATATCTAGAGCAGAACTGAAACATTTTTGTCTTTGGAAAAACGTCACCATCTTCACGACTTCACAATCTGTTCACCACACGTGACTTCACAGCAGTGGCACCATGTGACCGAAATCACAGGAGACCTGAAGGAATAACAACAAGTGAAACTGTCTTTCCAAGAGACTGGGTCAGAACTGTCAGAAAACATAGAATTAACTGAAATAGAATAATCTTTGTAAACATAGTTTTTTAAATCATTCTGTCAAAAAATTAAGGTTAAAGTCAAGTTCTAGCAGAGTCTCCAGTGGGTGGAGCCAGGACCCAAAACACTTTGGTGGTGGATTATTACCAGAACATAGAGGTTTATTCAAACTTCTCACGCAAACTTTATCAGTCTGAGATGTCATCGTTCATTTTTATCTAGTGTTTTTTTTAAGTGGAAATATGTTATATCTTTAATTTCTTCAAAAGTGCACAGCAGGTGGAGGATCAAAGGTGTTTCTGATTTTACTCTTCTGATATTTTTAACTCAGTGAAACATCTATTTAACCTTTTAAGACCAAATCTGTGGCATCAATTATCAATAAAGTCATGTTTAAATGTCTGGTTTTCATTGAAGCCTCCTCAAATAAAGACAGAAATAGTGGTTCTGGTCCAGAGCAGGAAGGTCACATCCGTGTCACCACACAATACCAGATGCTGCGTGGAGCTTTTATTAGCATTAGGAACTGATATTATCTTTACTTCCTGATGTCACTCAGGTACGAGATCATAATCAATGGTTGATTTTAGAGTGATTTTAGCAAAATGGGTAGTAACTGACTGTGTCGTCAGCGCCACCTGCTGATGAAAACCTCATTCTACTTCATGTTTCATGCCCAGTATCTTAGATTCCAATTTATGGAGCTCTGTATTGGACCGCTATTTCTTCTAGACAAAAAGTCAACACATCATCACAGATCCACAGATCCACAGATCCTGGGTTCCTCAGAGAGAAAATCAGTGATTTTAGCTCAGACCAAAGTCCATAGAGAAAATCAGTGATTTTAGTTCAGACCAAAGTCCATAGAGAAAATCAGTGATTTTAGTTCAGACCAAAGTCCATAGAGAAAATCAGTGATTTTAGCTCAGACCAAAGTCCATAGAGAAAATCAGTGATTTTAGCTCACAGACCAAAGTCTAAACTCTTCCTTCTCTTTGTCTCTTTGCTCCTAATCTTTAGTGATTTTTCCTCTTCCCTTCCATATCCCTCTTTCACCGCTAATTCACCTCATCCCTGACACTGAGACGTCTATATGTGTGCGTGTGTGCATGTGGGATTGTGTGTTACATCTCCACCTTGTGGTCTTCACACGCATTGAGCTGATTACTGCTGGAAATTGGGCGTGAAACACAAACAAGCACACACAGACAGTGTCACAGGTGGTCTGAGCTAAAATCAAGTGTTTCTATAAATACCCAGAGCTAAAAATAAAGTCCAGTCCACACGTTTTCAGTGTCTAATGAAATCATCTCTGCACTGGTCTTACATTTCTGCTGAGTTAAAGGTGAATTTTCAACATTTGTGTTAAGGCGACACAGCTCGGACCTGACCTACAATTATAGAACAACAGATGCACAGTCTAAACATCCATGCAGAGCAACTCGATCTGTGAGTGGAGAAAGACGGTCAGATCATCACAGCGGCTTTGATTCAGTGACTCATTCTTTCCAACAGAACACACTTTCCATACCCATTGTTAAAAAAAATCAACATACACGATGTTTATGAAAACAGCAGATATCGAAGAAATGAAACAACAGGTGGAAGTGAAACCAGAGACTGTTTTTTTTATGCTATTAAATTCTACAAACACAAAACTGATCATCATCAAAAACCTGGCTCAGCGGCTGGGAAACCAGGAGGAGAAAAATAATCACTGACATCTACAGGAAACTCAAGTTTGTTAACACATGTTTTTAAATCATAGGACACAGACGCTGATCTATGTGTTGAATTCTATCATTTACTTCTGGCCCCGGCCCCTCATGCTAAAATCAATGATTTCTCTCTGGTGTTTGGTGTCAGAGAGTTCATAAACACACCCGAGAGACCGTTATTGTCTCACTCTATTTTATTAGGAGTTTGAATCATTAAAACCTAAAGTCAAGTGTACAAGTCTGGGTTACTTGGCAGCAGAAACTGGATACTACTAGTACTAGTCCTCGGTATGCTCATACAGTACCAGCTAAGAAGCTCCTGGAGCCACTGACATGTCCTGCAGCTACAGGCTGTGATCGAACCTCTAACCTGCTCAGTTACCAGTTATACTTATGCCACTGTGTGGGTCTCAGGCCTGGTGTAGCAGCAGGGGGCGCTACAAGTGACAACGAACTCATTTAGCAGCGTTGAGAAAAAAAAGGAACTTCCTTAATTTTAAAGTGATAAATGCATCAATCATATTGATTGGATTTATTTTTGTCTCTTTCAAACCAAACAGCTAATCACAGTCCACCACCTTCTCCGCGGCTTCTATATTTCGTATTGTTCCCACTTCAGCCGCATCTCTTTAGCTCACGCACACGCTTGCACGCAAACTTGCACGCGCACTCTCCTGTCTCTCCATTGGCCAGTGGCACGGCCGCGGGGCGGGGCCGTGTCGGTGAGACCCGTTTAAAACCGCATTGAAGAAACTGAGGTAGCGAAAGAGAGGTTGGTACTGGGACAGGTTCTAGTCGGATCCTGGTTTTTGAGTCAGGTTTGTCTGCAGAGACATGAGCGTCTCTTCTTCATCATTCTGAGAGCGCGCACTAGAGCAGAGACATCCACGAGGACGCACAGGATAAAAAAGAGACCCAAACTCTGGAGTTAGATCTGAGCAAAGTCTGGATTATGACCGATGTGGATCATCCCTGAGAGACAGGTAAACCTCATCCTCATCTTCTCCACGATCTCTGAAGCTTTGTCTCACTAGTGATGCATCACTTCTTCTGCACGATTTAGCGCACAGTGTGTGTGTGTGTGTGATTGCATCAGAAGTCAGTTGCAGCAGCACCTGTTAACATTTGTCGCTGGTATTTGCTGCAGCAGTCTGGGCTCAGAGTCCACAGCCACCGCCTCCCCTCACACACTTCAGTCCACTTTTGAACAACGGTTCTGTTCTGTCAACTATTTAAGAATGTTCTAGATCAAACAGCAGTACCCGACATCAGCTGGTAATAATAATCATAATCACAATGTTGTTATTACTGGTGGGGACAGTAGTAGACAAGACAAGTCCATGGACCAACGAACGTTTTTATTTTAATATGACGTTAATTTACTTCTAACCTTTGAATGAACCTTTGTTTCTTCCCAGAAATGGCTAAAAGTGAAGCTAAAATGGAGCCACTTGGCTACAGAGCAGACCGATGTTGAGTGAACTGAGTGTACTGCTCTAGTTTAAAATATATATTGTAGCAGAAATGGTAAAACACAGGTTAACAGATGTCATTTAGAATTCCATTTGAATAAAAGTGAAAAAAATAATCAAACTGACTAAATGTTACACTGGATTTTTGCTTATTAAAAAAAGGTTTTTAGGTTTTGTTTTTATTTGACCTTAGTCATTTTATTTCATTCATTTATTTATTTTTTATTTCAACTACCAACTGTTGTCTGTGACATAAAACTGAACATCTGTGGTTCAGGAAAACAAGCCATTTCCCGCCATTTCCTTATCTATAATAATCGATAATGAGAAGAAATATCACATTAATACCTCACTGATAATGAGAAGAAATATCACATTAATAATAATGACCACAATAATAACAACTAAATTCACTATTATAATAACAGAGGCGTTGACTTTGGGACTGATTACACAGTTACTAATGTAACAAAGACCAAAAACAGGGGGAGAGAGAGTCTCCACTGGTTGATTAAGACATATGTTGCCAGGATAGTGTTGGAGGTGGAGGAAGGGGGAGGGAGCTCCTGACACCATCATTATAAAAGCAGAGCTAGAAATCCCTCAGGACTCAACCAGAGTCAACAAGCAGCTCCAGTGCAGTGACACAGTCAAACCAAACTGATCCACCGACTCACACTCTTTGTTTTTGCTGATTAAAAAAAAAAAGTCCAGGAAGGAAGGTGGACGTGTGAGTGAGTGAGTGAGTGAGTGAGGTGGAACTCATTCACACCGGGTGACGCTTTTATTTTAACTCCGTCAACTCAAGTGATGGCACAGGGACCCCTCCCTCCCCCCTTCTCTCTGTCAGCCAGTTCAGTCTCAGCTCACACTCAGTTCCTGCAGGATTTTATTTCTAAAATAACAAAATACTCATCTGAACCTCCGCTTGTGCAGTCAGAGCTTTTCGGGTTTGTGGTGCAAACATGGAGAAGGGAGAAGGTTCAGATCCCTCAGAGGAGCCAAGAGAAACAAGTAAGCCCTGAATATCAGGACCTGGAGCTGAAATATTAGATCTGGGTTTGACATAGCGGCTGTAGTTCCTCAAATCTGTAGAAGTCAGATCTTGAACTGAGACAAATGTCCAACTCTATTTGTCAGAACATCAAATTCGGTTGTGGTTCTAAGCAGCTCCTGTTTCTGTTTTTCTACCAGCAGATGATTTGGCTGAGGTCCAGTCCGACCAACACAGAGGGGTGACCACTTCCTACTGACGACCCCCGTCCAGACAGCCAGTGTGGCTGAAGAGGCCTCCTTGGGCCAGCCTCCATCCGTCATCATTTCCTCTTCAAGTTGGTCCCCCAAAAAAGTTTCAAAACTGTTTCTCCAAAGGTTTTTCCAGAAACTCAGACTCTTCTCCAAAGCCCAAGCTGCGCAGCCCTCCCAGTCTGAGGTGATGGGAAGCGTGGGAGCCAGCCGCTACAGCATTGTGTCATCAGAGGAGGACGGGATGAAGCTCGCCACCATGGCGGTGCCCAACGGCTACAACAAAAGCAAGGTGCACACCCAGCACCATCCACAGAGCAGATTCGTGAAGAAGGACGGTCACTGCAACGTGCAGTTTGTCAACGTGAGTGAGAAAGGTCAAAGGTACCTGGCGGACATCTTCACTACCTGCGTGGACATTCGCTGGAGGTGGATGTTCCTCATCTTCAGCCTGGCCTTCCTGTTGTCCTGGCTCTTCTTCGGCTGTGTTTTTTGGCTGGTTGCCATTTTCCACGGGGACCTGGAGAGTAACAGTCACAAGTGTGTCTCCAACGTGAGCAGCTTCACTGCTGCCTTTCTCTTCTCCATTGAGACACAAACCACCATTGGTTACGGCTACAGATACGTCACAGACGAGTGTCCTGCCGCCGTCTTCATGGTGGTTCTTCAGAGCATCGTGGGCTGCATTATAGACGCCTTCATCATTGGTGCGGTCATGGCAAAAATGGCCAAGCCCAAGAAAAGGAACGAAACTTTGGTTTTCAGCCACAATGCCACGGTGGCCATGAGGGACAACAAGCTTTGTCTAATGTGGCGAGTGGGCAATTTAAGGAAGAGCCACCTGGTGGAGGCCCACGTAAGGGCGCAGCTTCTGAAATCCCGCACCACCGCAGAGGGTGAGTACATCCCTCTTGACCAAATGGACATAGACGTGGGCTTTGACAGTGGCGTTGACCGAATCTTCCTGGTCTCACCGATCACCATTGTCCACGAGATCAATGAAGACAGTCCGTTCTATGACATGAGCAAACAGGACCTGGAGAACTCGGACTTTGAGATTGTGGTCATTCTAGAAGGAATGGTAGAGGCCACGGCCATGACCACACAGTGCCGCAGCTCCTACGTGGCAGGGGAGATCCTGTGGGGCTACAGGTTTGAGCCTGTGCTCTTCGAGGAGAAGAACTTCTACAAGGTGGACTACTCCAGATTCCACAAGACGTACGAGGTGCAGAGCACCCCGCTATGCAGCGCCAGAGACCTCGCAGAGAAAAAGTTCATCCTGTCCAACTCCAACTCCTTCTGCTATGAGAATGAGATGGTGTTGGACAACAAGGAGGACACGGATGAAGGAAACGGCGGGAGCGTCGGCCCCGATGGCACCCAGACCGACAACATCTCAGAGAACGAGCACAGCCAAGCCACGGTGCCGCTAGAGCCAAGGCCTCTGAGACGAGAGTCCGAAATATGACTGTCCAGACCTCTGACCTCAACTGAGAGAGAAATTTAAAAAAACAAAAAAAAAAACAAAAAAAAAACAACTAATCTCTCTGCTCCAAGAAAGGCACAAAGAGCCGAGCTGGGCCTGGAGCAGGAGACACAGAAAGGTACTGCTGTGAGGTGAAGGTTCAGGACATGTCTGAACCAGGACATCAAACATCATGACAAAACACAGCACTATGAACCACGTGCAGATGTTGCAGGATTAATTCTCCACAAAGTCCACAAAGAATGTGTTCAGGGTCTGAGGACTGCAAAGAACCAGGGGAGGGGGACAGTTAATGATGGGTCACCAGTTGACATGTCTCCGTCTGTCTGTCCAGCAGGAACACAAACTGGATTTTACACTTGTAGATTTCTGCAACAAACCTTTCTTTTCTTCACCTGAAGAACCAAAAAAGTTCCGATACATCTAAAGAACAAACAGAAGAGTTTTTCTCTGACCTTGAGCTGGTCTCAGATCAGAACCTAACTGTCTGAGTAGTTTTATTTGACAGTTACAAACTAAATCACTATTGACTGAGTGTGGAATCTAAAACCACTCACCTGTTGTTGTCCTCCTGGGCCTTCAGCAGGGGTTAAAGGTCATGGTCAGGGTTCAGGTTCAATGCTGTACTTGCTGATCTCAGAAGATGTTTGATGCTGGTCAGACTGAGGATGACATGACAAGGTCGGTCAGTATTTTAACAAAGGAGGCTCACACTGAGAGCAGAGGATGATGGGAGAATTGGAATGTTCTTAAAAGTGCTGCTAAAACGATGCTTCTGGTTTTTTGTTTTTTTTTTGGTTTTATGGTTGTTTCTTTAAAACACCAAAGAGTATTATTGTGTATTGTTATTATAATGATGGTAATAATAATTATTATTATTGTTATAAGATTATAGTCATGTGTTTTCAGATGAATAAAAACTCCAGAATAGATTTGGTACAGAGACGTAGACCCTTTATATTGACTTAATAACAAGGTTTGTGTGTACAGTTTGTAATGATTAAATAAATGATGAATATTTTCTTCACCTTCATCCTGAGCCGCCTCATCAAGCCTTAAATCTGAAGAACCCAAAAAATAGGGACGAGTAAAATAAATAAGACAAAGATTTTTGAAGCCAAATATATTTTTAAAGAGTGTTTAAAAATGTATATTTTGTCCTAAAATTCAAACTTGTGACTGGAGAATATTTTGCATCACTTTCCAGTTTGAACTGCACGTCGATGACTTTTCATTGTTTTCACTGCGTTTTGAAAGTGAAACGTGTTGGTGGAACCCATGTGTACTGTAACTACAGATGCAAACGTCTGCACACACCAATGTTTTTTAGTGCTTATTAAAAAGCTTTTAACCACAAAGCTGCATAAAGACCCCCTGGTGTAAAGAACCCCCCTCCCCCTTTTCTGTCAGTCTTCCAGAGGAACTGCTAAAATGCAGTGTGTACAGACTTTTCTATGAAGGACTCTTATTTTTAATGTGAATATTATTGTACATGATCTTGTTCTTTTTCAATAAAATGTCAAAAGAGAAACCAAAACAAATTGTTGTTGCTTTTATTAGCACAAGAAAAAAGTGTGATAACTTACTTTAAAAACACTTTTGAACGTTGGAGGTTTTACTGGATCTGCAACCTGTTTTATCATTTTAGGATTTTTTGCCGTAAAATAAAATCATAAAAACCGAGCTGAAGCTGAATTAATAAAAAATCATAAAGAAATATATTTTAAGTGTTGCTCAAGTGAATTTCATTTGAATTTCAACATTTTAATTTATATAATTCATTGATAGAAAAATCAACATACGGGACGACGATACGATGTATTGCGATATACTGTGATACTATAGGCACAAAAATATATTGAGTTTTTTTAAACAATGTAATTGTAGTAAAAGTGTCACACAATGTTGTTCCATCTTAACATCAGGTCACTAACACTGGACCAGAGAGATCGACATTTGAAATCACTACAGAAGAAATAAAAGAAAATGAACCAACACCATGATTATTTGACTGGTAATTGGTAATAAAAAAATTCATACACTGCTGTAGAATATCGGTATGGTATCGTGAAAAAAATATTTTTTTTAGTGTATTGATATTTTCTTACAGCCCTCTCAGTAATAAAGGTTTCTTCCTGTGTGATCTTCAGTCAAAGTTTTAAACAAAAAAAGGACTTAAGAACAACCCTTCACGACATCTTCAAATTGACATAAATATTTCAGTCAGACCCATGAACACCGGACACAGGAGATAAAGGCAAATGGCTCTGAAGTGATGAAAGGTCCAGACAGTCGGGGCAGGTTGGAAGCTCTGGTGGGAAAGTCAGGAGCCGGGTTCCGGTCCCACCGTTGATTATTGCTTGTATTTATTGAATTATTTTTAATGTGAAGCTGTGAACAGGAAAGGCACGCTGAGGTGACTTCCTGTCCCACATTGTTGTACAGTGAACACCGCTGTGGCCTTTTCTGCTGCCATAAACAATAACAGAATCAACAATCTTCGCAGCGCTACCCTCTGGAGGTGAACTTGTTATTTTTACACCTGTGACTCTGCACCCACACGGACCTGGGACAGAAACTACAACTGACAGAGGTCTTTAAACCCACAACCATGGTCGTTCACCCCGAACATTAATGTTCTCACATAGAACATTCATGCAGAGACTAGATTCATGATGATCTGGTTTGGGGGGGGGGTGCCTGCAGGTCACAGGATTACAACTACAGAGTACAAATGACCTGGCACATGCAGCGCAACCTTGACCTTTGCTGATACAGTGGGAGGGGAGGTTGATGGGACACCAGGGAGTTAAACGGGGGTGGTTACTCACTGTAACCCCAGACCGGCAGACGCAGGTTTTGAACTGATGGATGTTCCTCAAATTAAGCTTTCAGCTCTGGTCTCCTCTAATCTGTGGGTTGACTTTCAAAGCAGTGACACTAAGTGACCACAGGAGGCAGCAAAATAAGGTTATCAAGCATCTGAAGTTTATGACCGTATACATTTTGACTAATCTTCAAATTCAGCTTCTAATAACAAGCCTTCAGTTTGCTAATGCTATTGTTATGTAACACTCTATTTTCAGAATCAGATGTTTGGTTTAGCACTGGACAGGAACATCTCTGTGACCTCAGAGCTTTTTTGAGTTTTCTGGGTCAGAGCGCAGCGGTTTGCTCAGTAAAAACCTGGTCTGATCCTCCTATTATCTGCCTTTAAAACAGTCCAAGCAGAATGTTGGGGCAGCCACGGGGAAAAGGCCTGAAGAATGCTAACAATGCAGCCACATTGTGGCAGCAGAGTCAGGCTGTCACGCAAGGAAAGAACCTGGTGAAGAATCAATGAAGTAACTGCTGCTATCATCCTGTAACAGCAGCAGTAACAGCAGCAGTAACAGCAGTAACAGCAGTAACAGCAGCAGTAACAGCAGCAGCTACAGCAGCAGCAGTAACAGCAGCAGTAACAGCAGTAACAGCAGTAACAGCAGTAACAGCAGTAACAGCAGTAACAGCAGCAGTAACAGCAGTAACAGCAGTAACAGCAGTAACAGCAGTAACAGCAGCAGTAACAGCAGTAACAGCAGCAGTTCTGAGAGCTCACACTGTAACAGCCAATAAGAACGCTGTGCCACCAGCCCCATCATAATAATCATTGTCATCATGAGACTGCAGGCTTTGGTTAATTGACCCTGGCCTCCCTCAGTCTTTTTATAGATCCTGACACAGTCCCAGTGGGCCAGGCCAGGGTGGACCCCACAATTCCATCTGGTCCAGTCTGGACCACATCACCATTATTTCACTTGTGTCAGCATAAATAAGTTAACCATTAGAACTACACATCCTGACTAATTGCCATGGTAACGGATGACTCTACTTTCAGTCTTGGTACTGTTGAACTGCACTCCAACACATGTCACTACATCTGGTAAATCTACATCAAACACACCATGGCTGTTATGTGCACATGGTACAGTAACGTTGACCAGGTTGGACATTGGACCAGGAGCAAGTGTGGAGCCGCCACATGCCGGAGACCAAACCGTGCAGGGGTCGCCTCCTGTCTTGACCCTGTCCGACAGTGTGAAGAGTTTCTATCCTGTGGAATAAGAAGGATTACTGTGATGTCCTCCAATAACGGAGCTGCAGCTGCTCCTCCACTCTGTCACCTCCTCATCCTCTTCCTCCTCTTTTCCCTCGTGGTCCAGTTCAGGGTCGTTGGACTGTTGTTTACTGGAAGGACCATTTGTTTCTTAGTGTCCGACTGACATCACAGAGACTTAGCTTTGCTAAAAATATGGTTCTGTAGATGTAGGTTATGATGTCACACCTCTGAGTTCTTATGGGTTTAGCCTTGAGGGAGAAAGGTCAGCATCATCACTCTCTCTCACCTCCTGTTACAGAAACAGAAAGGATCTCAGCTCCACAGCTTTTCACGTGGCTTCAGTTGTCAACACGTTGTAACATGTGAGTCCAGTGCACGTCTCACACACAGCTGCTGGACGTTGGTTCTGACTCCAGAAGAACAGATGATTCATTATCAGATATCTGGTTTGAGTTGATGTTTTATTTCATTCATACCTGCCTTCATGCTTCAACCTTCAGACAAACAATGTTTCTTACATTCAATAGAACTGTCATCTTGTCCACTCTCAATGGTCGAGATGTGACATTTTTGTTTCTTGGTGGCAAAAAAGTATATTATAAAAAAATATATATAAAAAATTATATTTTTTGCCAGGACACATCAGGTGCTCAGAGTGACCTCAGTGAGCTGAAAGCACAGCTCCACACAGATGTTCCATACAGATGTTCCACACATATGTTCCACACAGATGTTCCACACATATGTTCCACACAGATGGTCGACACAGATGTTCCACACAGATGTTCCATACAGATGTTCCACACATATGTTCCACACAGATGTTCCACACATATGTTCCACACAGATGGTCCACACAGATGGTCCACACAGATGGTCGACACAGATGTTCCACACAGATGTTCAGTTCAGTTGAAGTGTTTGGATGCATTTACTGGTCAGTAAACAGGGACAGAGATAACTGAGGACACAGCGGTCACTGTGGACATGGTCTAACTGGTCCACACCAACAGACACAGGTTGTCTATTCAGAGAGACAACAACAGCTGAGGAGGGGATGGTTTTGGAAACTCAACCTCACACTGGCAACCACCGCACTATTAACACCTTCATTTTATCTGACAGCAGCAGCAACTACAACGACAAAAACAACAGCAACAACTACAACAATGACACCAACAGCAGCAGCAACTACAATGACAATAACAACAGCAACTACAACAATGACACCAACAGCAGCAGCAACTACAATGACAATAACAACAGCAACAACTACAACAAGGACAACAACAACAGCAGCAGCAGCAACTACAATGACAATAACAACAGCAACAACTACAACAAGGACAACAACAGCAGCAGCAGCAACTACAATGACAATAACAACAGCAACTACAACAATGACACCAACAGCAGCAGCAACTACAATGACAATAACAACAGCAACAACTACAACAATGACAGCAGCAACTACAACAATGACAACAACAACAGCAGCAGCAGCAGCCGCAGCAGCAACTACAGCAACAAGCAACTACAGCAACAACAACTACATTTCTATTTGGACAGTCTTGCTTGCCAACAACTAAACCACAAACCAGCTTTGCCCTGTGGTCAGTTACTGCAGTATTTATTTAGAGTTTTTTTGTTCAGTTTCAGTGTCAAGGTCAGTCTGTAGACTGTATCTAATCTATGTAAAATACAACATCTGAGTAGACCTGAGAAAATAGATGAGATTGTGTGTGTGTGTATGTGAGAGCGTGTGTGTGCGTGTGTGTCTGTACACAGGCAACGGTGCATACACCAGAGATGTGACAACCTGGAGTCACTATGGACACAGAGCCTGCAGTGAGATGATGCTAATGACCAACAGCGTCATCTTTGGGTCTCTACGCTGCCCCCCGGGGAGCAGGTGGTGAAAGAACAGAGAGTGAAGAATACATGTATCCCACAGTAAAACCAGGTCTGTTACTAACACTCGGTCACACACTCTCACAGCCTCTAAGTACTGTTTCAGATGTGTGTCATGATGCTACTGTTTGCTACTGCAGAGCTTTGTCCATGCCATTCTGCACAACCACATGTAGAGAGCTAAAGGTTAGCCTATGAATGGCTAACATTAGCAGAAACAATCAGTAAAATTAGGAATAACTACAGTTTCTAATAAATTAACTTTAAATCATGATGTGGGTGTGATAGAACTGTTGTGATAGAGATGTTCCGAACAGTCGGTTATCCTCACAATTTCACAGCAGAAAAACAACATAAAGTGCTCTGAATAGAGCTTTTGATTTTACATCAGTCCCTGCTGGAGGAACAGTTAGGAACAGGAGAGAACAGGAGTGGATCAGAACAAGAGTGGACCAGCCCGACTCCACTGATGCTCTCCTGACTCAGTGTGTCCACAACAACAGTGCAGGGCTGATTAATGC